GGAAAAAAAAAAAAAAAAAAAAAAAAAAAAAAAAAAAAGTCTATTACTTAGGAAAAAAAAATTAAGAACATTTTCATCACCCCAACAAAAAAACTTCATACCCATTACCCTGTCATTCTTACTCACCTGAATGATCAAATCAACTTCCTCTGTGACCTTGACCCCCCACCCCACCCCAACGCTGTCCTTAGAGGCCTCTTTATAACACATAGACCTGCCCTAAATGTTTTCATGAGTCCTCATTACTTGTAGCATAAAGTCCATATGCCTTATCTTCCTTCAAAAACTTCCCCCGAGGGCTGGCTGGTTAGCTCAGTTGGATAGAGCACAGTGTTAAAACATTAAGGTCAAGGGTTTGGATCCTCACATCAGCCAGCCACAAGAAAAAAAAAATCTGCCCCCTACCCACTTCTTCAGCATCATCTCTTACCATTGCCTCATCCCACACATGCTCTTCCCACGTGGACACCTCACCTTGAGATATTCACACTTCTGAGCCTTTTCCCATACTGTTACCCTCACCCGGAATTTCTTTCCCCTCCATTTTCTATCCAAGTAAGCCCATTAAGACATTTTCCTACTTGGCACACAAAGGCAGAAGGACAATGTCCAAGATCCCAGGCAAGTTAGTCATGATCACCTTGAGCTCAGTGGCTAGCCATCCCAATTACAAAAATCCCTTGCTGTGTTACCTGCTAAGAATATATTACATGCTAATAGAACAAGAGTCAATTTCACTCCGATGCCCAGCATCATGGACACCTCAGTCACACCTTCATATTAACAACTATTCTTAATTAAATACCTTTCCCATTCCCATTAAACACCTTAAGAGGGCTTTCCAGTCAAGATGGCAGAATAGTCCCCAGTGTCACTCTCTCCCACAAATCAACTAATTTACAACTACTAAAAAGCAATGACAGCCAAGCTGGGGCCACCAGAGCTCAGGGAAGAGGAGGAGAGACTACGGAGTGCATAAAGGCCAGAGAAGCCACGATGAGAGAAAGAAAAAACCTCTGCGACCGATTCGAGCCCTGGCCACTTCCCGGCTGGAGATGCTGAGTGCACAGAGCAGGAGCCGGCAAAAGCCACAGCTGTGCCCTTTGGATGAAGCTGCAAGGAGGTGGCAGGGGAGAAGAGGGCCTTAGTGGCCCCCAGGCCAGCAAGACCACTAATAGGG